AAGAAAACTGAACATGGCGAAGAAAACTAAACATGGCGAAGAAAACTAAAGATGGCGGAGGCCTGAGAGAATCTGGGCCCAGACGGATCCATCGGCCAGAGGCCGCCTCACCTTCTCCAGCAGGTAGTTGCTGATGTGGCCCCCGATGGGGTCGCCCTTAAAGTCGAAGTTGATGTCCATGTACTTGCCGAAGCGGCTGGAGTTGTCGTTGCGGTTGGTTTTGGCGTTCCCGAAGGCCTCCAGGACACAGTTGGATTTAAGCAGCATGTTTTTCACCCTGTGGGCCGGTGGGACGAAGAAAAGGGGCTGAGACAGTTCTTTAAGCTTCATTAAATGTAAATTAATTTAAATAATTATGTTAATAATTATAAAAAATAATATATATAATATATATAATAAAATAATAATTATATTAATTATATTAATAATCATAATAATTAAAAAAATATATTAATAATTAGAATAATAATATACATAATATATATAATAAAATAATAATTATATTAATTATATTAATAATCGTAATAATTTAAATATACGGCATGGAGAAGAAATCTGAGCTTTTGAAAAATAATCACCTACACAAATGAACCAAAATCTAAATCATAGAATTAAACATTAAAAAAGTAGGACATTAAAAACCCAGCGGGTTTAAAATCAGGCCTCTTTTCTACTCTTTTTTCCCCCCCCAAAAAAGAAAAACAACCTAGTAAACATCTGGAGCAGAGGACTCTGGGGGGGGGGGGGGCATCCCACTAATGTCTGAAAGCAGATTCTATCTTTTTGCTTTTAAAATGTTTCCAGGTGTGGAAACATCTGGACGGCAGGCGGCTCTGCACACGGTATTTTTTATGCTTTTATTTTTAAGCAGATCTGAGAGTTTCTGCTTCTTTGAGGTGCTCTTTTCATGTCCAAAACGTCCAGGAAGCACTAAAACAAATCACAGCTTTGGCATTTAATACATTTAGCTGTGAATAAAATATGAATCTACGAAGCTGATCATTCATCTCCTCTATTTTTCTATTTTCTATTTCCACAGAGCGTCAGAATATGCTGATTTGCGGATGTGAGAGGCACCTGAAGGCGTTTCTGCTATTTATTTACGTCTCTCCATGTTCAAAAGTCGCAAGTTAAAAGGTCATTTGAGCTGATAAGCAGGGCGGAAAAACATTAATCATTAAATTAATGAAGTCACGCTACAGTCAGCCCACAGCATCAACATTCAAAACCTTTTTCTCACAGATATTTCATTCTGTGACCTTCTATTTATTTATTTTTCCAGGTATTTAATCTCAATTTAATCTGACAATTTGTTACCTTCATGTCAAGGCTTTAGCTTCGTGTTAAAGTTAATGAAAAAAAAAAGAAAGAATATGGAGCAACAAGGCCTTTGACTGAAAAACATCAAACCAAAGCACAGGAGGGAGTTTTGGGATCAAGCTTTAACCCTATAATGCCAAATGTGTCGTATTTGATAGATACAGTTTCTGAAGTCTTTTGGATCTGAGACTTTCTGCATCATTCAGTGGTAAAAGCTTTGCTCAAACCCCTGTTGTACACATTCAGATATACCTGATAACAGCCAGTAGAAGACCACACCAAAATATATTTTTGACTTATTGCACGCTAATTTGATCAAAATAATTTCTGTTTTTTTTTCTTCGTATGTTGTTGAGGGGCCAAAGAAAGACTTCAGACTAAAAAAAATCCAATATTCTTCCTGTTTTTCTTGGATCGGGCTTTAAAGGGTTAAGGAATGTGTTAATTAGATTCCCAATGGGAGGAATCCCTCCCGATTGGCTCACCGCTCCACCTCGGCCCTCTGGTTGGGATTGGTGATGGCAGCGATGTACTGCATGATGTATTTGCTGGCCTCCGTCTTTCCTGCTCCGCTTTCCCCTGAAAAAAACAGAAAGACAGCAGCATCCAGAGTCAAAACGGGCCCGGGAGGCTTTGCTAGACCCCGAGTGTTTCAGTTAAAATGCTGTTTCCCCTCAGAGTTAACAACTTTTCTCCTCTCATCCAAAAGATTTGACTTGGGAGTACTCAAAGATGAGCGGTGAAACTTCCTCAAAGTCCAGGAAGAAAAGTCCAGCTGCCCTAAATGAAGCTGTGAGGACCTCAGACAAACCCGTTTCTGTGTTTTTGTTGCTTTATTTGCCCAAATTCAGGACACAATACATGGATTTAGTTCAGAATGTTACAAAAATTAATAAATAATGAGTCCTTCATTTAAGTTTGTTATTTTTAAGAATGCAAAATGGACACAAAATCCCATTAACTAGGTAAAATTATCCATTTAATTGTCATTTTGCAAGGATTTTTCACTAAAAGCGTTCTTTTTTTTTTTTACATCTGACTTTTTGCATGCAGAAATAACAGTTTATGGATTTTTGTATATTTTCTGGAGGACCTCAGACAAACCTTTTTTCGTTGTTTATTTTGCTTTATTTGCCCAAATTCAGGACACAGTACGTGGATTTAGTTCAGGATGTTAAAAAAATGAATAAATAATGAGTCCTTCATTTAAGTTTGTTATTTTTAAGAATGCAAAATGGACACAAAATCCCATTAATTAGGTAAAATTATCCATTTAATTGTCATTTTGCAAGGATTGTTCGGTGAAATCGTTCTTTTTTTTTTTTTTACATCTGACTTTTTGCATGCAGAAATACAGTTGGGGAAATAAGTATTTGACCCCTTGCTGATTTTGCAGGTTTACAAAGAATGCTTATTTTTCCTCATCAGATGGTTATCAATTTTTATAAATTCATATGATGTGATTTTCTGGAATTTTCTTTGGGATTCTGTCTTTCACTGTTAGAACGTACATATGATTAAAGTTATAAATCGTTGCATTCTTTGTAAGTGGGCAAACCTGCAAAATCAGCAAGGGGTCAAATCCTTATTTCCCCCACTGTAACAGTATATGTATTTATGGATATTTTCTTTCTCTTTAACTCCTTTTTGTGGTCCATAAGTCTCTTTGAGCTCCCGCTTTAGTGGCTCTCAGTTCCCGTTTTGACCACCGAGTGGAGCTTCACTCTCTCAGCTTTCCTCCGTCTGAGACTGGAGCAGAGGGGGGGAGGCCGGGTGCTTTTTTCTGGAGGTGTGGGTGTGGGGGGGGGTTACCTGAGATGACTATGCAGGTGTCTTTGTTCCGCCTCTTCATGGCCTTGTAGGCGGCGTCGGCGATGGCGAACAGGTGCGGCGGCCTCTCGTAGAGCTCCCGGCCTCTGTACTGCTCCACCGTGTCCCGGCCGTAGATGTTCATGGCCCGGTACGGGTTCACCGACACCACCACCTCCCCGATGTAGGTGTAGATCCGCCCCTTCTCAAACCTGAG